TTTTAAAATTATGAATTTAGTGGTCCCTGAGGTCCGAAAGGTTGGTGACCTGGTCTGACCCCCACCTTGCCTGTTCAGAAACTACAGCCAGACAGAATGTTCAAAGGGAATATTTTTATCAGTCCCTGCTCTTGCTGGCTGCGAGCCCAAAATAAACACAGATAAATGCTCTGGCAAAAGTAAATTACAGCAAAACAGGATTATATAAATCAAATCACTTATCCAAGTGCTTTTTCTCGAATGGTTGCAAACAAACAGAAAACTTAGAACAGGAACGGAACGAAATGGAACGGAACGTTGACTTCTGCAACTAGGGTGTGGCACCATCAGTCTTTTATCCGCAGGAGGAGATCCTAACAAGCCACAGCTGCTCATTATCCTCTCCTGTGAGTCGGTCAGTCCTTTTCCTGCGTGCATCCCAAAACAACTCAGGGTTTTGCCGAGTCACAACAAAAGAGGTTTCTGCCGAGTCACAACAAAAGTCATCCGTGCATTCCTCTGCCTTTAAAACTTACCTAGTAAACAATGTTTAATAGGTGATATTCTTATTTTAACACTCCAGCATAGCAACAACAGAAGCTATATTACTCCCACTTTTGAGTTCTTAAAAACAATGAAGTCTTAACTGAAAAATTCTGCTGATGGTGTACCTTCATTTAAGATGCATTTTTGAGCAGCATATTTAATTTCTTTAGTGCATAGCCGGTTATCGATCTGAAGAAGCTGTGGAGATGCTGAAAACCTTCTACAGACAAGAGAATCCAAATGGTAAAAACCTCCTTTCAAAATTTTAATCCATGTAGACATTTATAGATGAGAATATTAGTGACCTCCATTTTTTCCCCCTTTTTGGCAGCACCAAAATCAAAAGTTCGGAAAAAGGAATTCAGTAAATGAGATGCTGTTGTAAAGTTAACCAGTCTAGAAGAAGAATAAATCCTTGAATGATCTTCGCAATGCTGACCTTTGCTGGACTAAATTATTTAGCTCCGGGAGGTGAAAAATAACATACCTGTCCCTTTTCAATATGTGGTTGAATATAATATGCAGGTTATGATAAATTAACAAATACAGTTGTGGGTCAAAATGTCTAGTTTGTTTTCCCCTGGGTGCTAAACTGGAAAGGTATTATTGAAAGAACAATACCAGCTAAGGTTGAACTCTTGCAACTATTGATTTTGAACTCAACAAGAGGTTCAGCTAATTAAGATAATGCATGCTTTGCCAGTACAAACTTGTGCTGATTTCTATTGTCTTGTAAATTATTTGGATAAGAACTCTACAAAACTCTCTGTCATCTTCCAGTTCACTAAGCTGTTCACTAAGTTATACATGCTGAATCAAGTTTTCCAGGTCACCTGCTACATTGGAATTTCTCTTGGGAACTAGTCTGATTGGTATTAGGACTTTATTAAGCTATAATATAGCCCAGGTATTTAGTCATTTTAATCTAGTTGGTGCTGTTCTAATGCTAACAGAGGCTTTCCTGTAATTTTCTATGTGTGATATATTCAACTGGAAATACTGAACATAAGAAGGGGACCTTCTGCATAAAAACCATGTACTGTTTCAGTGAAATAATCCAAATATGTATAAATATCTGACAATGTCTAATTTGTACCACTTTCTTCAGTGCATCACATGGCAAGTTTAAAACTTCATAGAGACTTCGCTGTTCAGACCTCGGTAGAAAATATTGGCAATATTAAACTTAACATTGTGATAACCGAATTGAAAGATTTGCACTCATGCCTGATCAATTGCTGCCATACCTTCTCTTTTCAGATGAATTCCTGTTGTGATAGCAATCACCATTAAGGATCAGTTGATTTACGTAGTTTTATTTTAATATGTTTGCAGTAGAAAACTTATAATATTGAAGGCAGGCTGTTCAGGTTAGCAGCATCTATCTGATCTTGGACTATTGAAAAGCTCAGCAGGGCCAGAATAGTTTATTCTTTGGAAATTCCAGAACTGTTGGACTGACTGCAAAGTTGAAAAAACATTCCAGAAAAAAAAAAGGCAAAAGAAAACCACTTCTGTAATGTTGCTGAGAAAATAACATGGGTGTAACCATGAAGTCACCAGGAGTCATGGTAAACTTGAGGGAATTTTGAATGAATTATCAATACCGGACTTGTGTACCTGGGTTCACTTACAATAATACTTTTATTTGTAAGGGCTAACTTTCCTGAACATATGGGTAGCTGAAATATTGAAGTTATATTCAAATATGCTAGTGTTACTCAGTCTTAAATTCAGTCATTTTGATAATGACTGTATAGGAAGTTAATTATATTGCTAAAATACAATATTTGGAAAAGGGCCATACAGAAGACGGCAGAAGTAATGTTAGTGAAGGAATATAATGTTGTCAACAGCAGCATTTTCGAGCTTCCATCTTATACCTTCTCCCTCTTCTACACAGCACTCCGATTCTCCTTCCTTATGCCAAAAAAATATGTGTGGAGTTTGTTGACGTTTTGGGGAGGAGGAAGGAACTATTTGTCTCATAATTAAATATCTAATTTAACTAAGCTAGAAGCCCAGATTTTACCTGGCACATTCTGCATTGTCGGTCCAGGGGGAAAATGCATAGAACATGCAGATTCGGGCTACCCCGAATCTGAGAAGTCATGGGAAACCACAGCAGATATCTATATTTTATGTCATCATTTCCATGTGAAATTCCCACCCAAGCCCTGCCTCTGGGACCTGCTACATCTATAGACTATATATTTATATAGTACTATATGCAAAAATCTATAGTACATACTATAGATTTAATTATACACTACTAAATGTGTATAGTACTAAAATACTACTATTAACTGTCAAGTTCGGTTAGCTGAAATGGTACATCATGTGAAATAATTTTTGAATAAAGATAACCTCAAATCTGCTGCCTTAAAGAATGCATACAAACTCTGAGAGCCATTACTCCTGTGGAAGTGAAATTTCAAGGACCTTCAGACCTGGTATACTGGAAGGGTTATGTAGTTACGTAGGCAGCCCTGCTGTACTTCTGCCATCAGCTGAGGCCATGTGATCATGATTTATGACACGTCCTGTCAGCTTCCTACAAGCAAAGTCAATGGGAATGCTGGCAGGAAGTTAGAAATCACTTCTACTTCCTACTGCTGTTTTGGCCACCTGTGATCATTCTGTTTATCTCTAGGTAAGTATTATTGAAGTTCATTTCCCACTACAATTACTCTTCCATCATGCTGCACTTTTTCTAAAAGGATGACCCAGTGGGTCATCGGTGGCCCAGTAAACAAATTTCAGGATGAAGGGAATTTCCTGCTTTCTGCCACGATATACTCTCCAGGGTTGGTTGCTGTGCAACAAGAAGAAAATACAGTGATGTTTTTCCATCTGATTGTGCGGTAAGATTTGTCTGTTGACCTTGGGGAACCGCTAAGCTTGGGTTGGGGTAATGAGCCTGTAGTCATTTAACATGGGACTTCCTAGCTTGTAAAAGACAGACAATGGAGGTGGTGTAGAGGAATATAGAGACTATGGTGAAGGAATGCCAGAACTGTAATATTTTAAAAACTTTTTTAAGATCATAAATGTCATCCCTGGGAAACGAGGGAGTGTAAGCACAACCTCACCTTGATTCTGGGTGGTATTAGAGGGAGCAGAAGGTAACTTTGAGAGCTTTCAAGACTTTTGTTATTATACTCTACAACAATAGAGTTCTGACAGTCGTTGCAGTGTCTGTTTCCTGACTGGGCCATATCGAAGGGTTGACGGGCAACAATGAAACGCCAAGCCAAAGTTTCAGAACACACACTTGAAAACTTTATTGGATTATTTTTAGATGTATTGTGAGGCACATCCAGAAGAGGACCTCAGTGTTCCAGCAATGAATAGTTCAGGAAGATTGGAAGGGAAGTCTTGGTCTCCCAAAATGTGCTTGCTGAGCAAATAAATAATTTTAGCAATAATCAAGTCCTTGCCTGTGCCTCCTGGATTTTAATGTTGTGTTAATAAACATATTTATTTAGCCATAGGCTGTGTGGTTTCTTGGCTAAAGCTTATTTCATTATGGTCTATATAGGTCCTTGACTTATACAGGTCCTTGATTTAGTGATTATGCGAAGTTTTTCACACTTATGATCATTGCAGCATCCCCATGGCCAAGTGATCAAAATTCAGATGCTTGGCAACTGGTTCATATTTATAACATTTGCAGTGTGCCAGGGGGTCATGTGATCACATTTGCCACCTTCTGACAAGCAAAGTCAATGGGAAAGCTAGATTCACTAAACAACTATATTATTAATTTAACAACTGTAGTGATTCATTTAACAACTGTGGCAAGAAACATAAAATTGGGGGGGGGTGTCACTTAACTGTCTCACTTAGCAACAGACATTTTTGCTTCAATTGTTGTAAGTTGAGCACTATCTGTATAGGGTCTGGTACCCCCTTTGTGTTATTAATACAATGAACAGCAACAGGATAGGATTGAATTTCTATAGCTCTTGTAGCATAATCCTCTTTAGATCCACTCAAAAGCAAACTCCTTTTGGTTAAATAGGATTTATTGTCAGGTTAGTGCATCTGTTATAGGCTTGCAAACTTTACAGGATTACAGAGTGAAAGAGATTATTTTCAAATTGATTTGAGTCACCTATTATTTACTAGTGTGCAGACCAGGTCACAAACTTTTGCATAGTAGATCTAGGAAATTCTTATTCATAAGAACTATTTAAAAAATAAAAAGTCTTTCAGCTTAGTCCTGAGTTTTTCTGATGGTAATGTCTTCCTTGTGTGAATACAAAGATAAGCTCCAAGTGTGCATAAATGTATGTGAGCACAGAATTAGATTCCACTGTGTTTGAGGGGACTTGTCCCCTGAGAAGCATCTATATCAGGGACATCCAACCTTGTAATTAAGACCTGTGAACTTAAAGTCCCACAATTCCCCAGCTAGCCATGCTGACGGGAATGTTGGGAGTCGAAGTCCACAGGTCTTAAAGTTGCTAAGACTGGATACCTCTAATATATNTGATGTCCTATGACAAAATGGAGGTCATTTTTGGATTCAGCACATGAAAAAACATAAAGATTACGTGGAATAACCAAAACAGCTCTCAAAAAAAAAACTTTTTTGCAGACCTGTGAATTATTTCTTTGTCTAAATACCAAATAGAAAAAAAAAGTTTATCTATGCTTAGATAAACAAAACAAAATTGCAATTGTAGAAATAAAATTGGATTTTAAAAAAGAATCAACATGGGAATGTTTTCTGATATTTCACCTAATGTTTATATTTTGGCTGTGTGCTGTGTGCTTATGAACGGAGATATTTGCATTTTAAAAATCTTCAAACATTATGGAAAGCAGTCCTTCATTTAATTATATGTTTTTTAAAATTTTATTCCCGGAGAATACTGTTTTTTATATATGTCCTTACATATTTAAAGAAATGGATATTATCTGAGGATCCTCTGTGGGTATAGTATCACTAAGTCACCGTGCTGGGTCAAAAGGTCTTGACAACTAGAGAGAAAACCAATTCATTAAACAAGTTTTTGGCAGAAACACTCCATGGATCTACTAACCAATAAATGATTATCTTTTAACGTTTCTTTTAAGGTCATATTTCTGAGATTTGTTTAACAATAATTTCATAGTTTGTCCTGGTTTGCATGAGTTTCTTAAAATCGATGTTTCCCAGTTTGGTAAGGCAAGTGTAGTTTCATCAATTATAAATTATAATTTTTTCATAAGCAATACATATCCACTTAAATAGTTTTATTTCCAATCATAGCTATCTGGACTCCGAAAAGACTCCTTTAAGAATTTGTGCCAGTCAAATGAAGGGGTGTGTGTGTGTAAAGATTTTTAAAATGCCCTCCCCCAAATTGTCCCTGTAAATGCTCATGAAATATGACTGTGCTGAAAAACGCCCTCTTCGGATAACATTTATATCATCCTCTCACTTTTTTTATTCTGTGCTTGTTTCTTGTGCTAATCAAAAGTTGTTCTGACCCCCACCTTGCCCGTTCAGAAACTACAGCCAGACAGAATGTTCAAAGGGAATATTTTTATCAGCCCCGGCTCTTGCTGGCTGCGAACCCAAAATAAACACAGAAAAGTGCTCTGGCAAAAGTAAACTACAACAAAACANAAACTAAATAAACCAGATTAAACTAAACTACACTGAGTTAAACTAGATTAAACTAAACTAAATTAAACTAAACTAAACTAAATAAACCGGATTAAACTAAACTACACTGAGTTAAACTAGATTAAACTAAAGTAAATTAAACTAAACTGGATTAAACTAAACTACATTGAGCTAAACTAGTCTAAACTAAATTAAACTAAACTAAACTAAATAAACCGGATTAAACTAAACTACACTGAGTTAAACTAGATTAAACTAAACTAAATTAAACTAAACTAAATTAAATAAACCAGATTAAACTAAACTACACTGAGCTAAACTAGTTTAAACTAAAGTAAATTAAACTAAACCGGATTAAACTAAACTACATTGAGCTAAACTAGATCAAACTAAACTCAATTAAACTAAACCGGATTAAAGTAAACGAAACATTAAGTGAAACCGAAGTAAATTAAACCAAACAATAAACAGGATGAAATGAAATGAAACATTAAATCTAACCAAATTAAATTAAATGCTAAATTAAGCGAAGCATTTGGTGAAGTTGGGAGATTCCCCCTCTCCCGTTTTTTGACATCTGAAGGGGAAAAAACTGTGAAATGTCAGCAAGATTGTTATATGCAGGAGAAATAATGAAGTAGCCACAACAGAGGACTTAAAATTAAAATTTGTAAATTTGCTGCAAAGAAGTTCCTTTGCCTCGTCTTTAATTATCTTTTTTTATTTGTTAGCTGCTTTCCTTACTTTTATCTCTTTTTTTTTTCCTTCCTCTAACTTTTCTCTCCGTAGTTTTGCTCGGGCTAAAACATTTTTAGCATTGTTTTTAAAATAAAAGAGAGAGAGCGATAGAGAAAGAGGCAAAACAATTGTGACGCTGCGTTTTTAAAGCGTCACAAATTGTCCAATTATGCTGGACGTTCTCGTGTGCCTCATACCCCCCCAAAATGTGTCTCCTGCCTGACCCAAAGTGGTTGAGGGCTGGGCGAGCCTCCGTTGGCGACAGGAACAGGATCAAGCAGAAGTCAAAACCACTAAACTGTTCATTAAGGAAAGAACATTTGATGGCTTAGCAGAACGAAGAAAAGGGCGTGGAGGAATGAGACGATAAAGAGATTTTTAAGACTCTCGGGAAACCAAGATTCAAGGACACGGTGTTATCTCTAGCCCTTTTGTTCTGGAATTGTTCTGCGGGAAACACATTGTTTGAAAAAGAGATGCGTCATCTTGATTTGGTTGATTTGGCTGATCCTTATTTTTTTCCCATCTTAAATTCACACACACCCACTTTGGCATGTCTTGTGGCCGAGTGTTGTGGCCCGCCAGCGGCCAATGGAGCTGGCGGCAGAGTCGGACAGTGAGGAGGGTTGGGGAGGAACATGGGACTCTGGTGAAGGCTCGGACGAGGGCTCGGATGGAGGCAGAGACGGGGCCAAGGCCGTCTGGCAATGATCAGCTGCCTTCGGAGCTAGACAGCAGTGAGGCAGAGGAACAGGGGGAGCCTGTTCCCAGTGTGCGCATGCGCAGAGCTGCCAGAAGAAAAGAACAGCCAGAAATCAGGGTAGACTTGGGAGTAAAGCCACAGGTGGACAGTGAATGGCCCCTCCCAGAGGAAATAAAAGAGGAGTGAAAAGGGAGTGGGCTTTTGCAGGAAACAATTCATTTGTTCATTCATTTGTTTCAGGAGTGTGAAGATCTGTCCGTGAATCTCAGAGACTCTGTGCCCAAGTCTTTCCTTGCACAGCTCCTCATTTGGATAATATTGACATGGCAGCTTTCCAAGCTAGATAAGGTCTGTGGTGATAAATACTCCTTTGAAAGGCTGTTTCCCAGGCCTTGGCTGAATGTGAAGGAGAGGAATTGGGGAAGCCTAGCTCAGAACAATTTTTTCTGCTTGTACATTATATAGAGATAGAGAGAGAGAGAGAGAGAGAGAGAGAGAGAGAGAGAGAGAGAG